TGATGCAGAGGTATGAGCATCAGTTTGCTTACAAGAAATAAGTGTCTGGATCTCGTCATGGCCTTTGTGAAGATGTCAACGACTTGCATATCAGAGGCAACATGAGGGAGAGAGATTGAGTTTGCAAGATACAAATCACGAATAAAGTGGCAGTCCACCTCAATATGTTTTGTCCTTTCATGAAAGACAGGATTAGAAGCAATTTTAATAGCACTAGTGTTATCTGCATATAGAGGAATGGGCATAGGAGAGGAATGTCCCAACTCCTGAAATAAAGATTGAAGCCAAACAACTTCACTACAAACAGATGACATTGCTCTGTACTTTGCTTCCGTAGAGGACTTCGAAACAGTTTGTTGTTTCTTGCACTTCCATGATATTAGAGAGTCACCCATGAAGACACACCATCCAGTAGTGGAGCGTCATGTGTCGGGGCATCCATTCCAATCTGCATCAGCATAGGCTTTCAGTTGGAGAGAAGAAGATGAAGAGAAGAAAAGACCCCGTGATAAAGAACCTCGAATATAGCGGATGATTCGATGCACCACAGTTAAATGAGGTTGACGAGGTGCAGAGATAAACTGACTAACAACCTGAATTGCATGTGAGATGTCAAGATGAGTCATGGTCAGATAGATGAGAGATCCAACAAGTTGCCGATAGAGGGAAGCATCAGGAAGAGGGAGCTTTTTGATTTGTATAATTTGACATTCAACTCCAAGGGAGTATCAACCTGTTTATTACCACTGAGGTTGGCCAACTTAACAAGATCAGAGGCATACTTGTGTTGGTAGACAAAATAACCTCGAGAGCTCCGTTGCACTTCAAGTCTCAAGAAATAGTTAAGAGGGCTGAGATCCTTCATGTGGAAGGAACTATGGAGAAGAGACTTGAGGTCCTGGATTCCTTCTATATCATCTCCAGTCAATAGTATGTCATCCACATACAGTAAGAGAATGGTAAGGCCCTGGAGTCTTTTCCGAACAAAGAGAGAGTAGTCCGGTGCACTTTGGCTATATCCGGCTTGTACAACAATATCTTTGAATTTTTCAAACCAAGCTCGAGGGGCTTGTTTGAGCCCATAGAGGGACTTCTTTAGTCGACAAAAAAGGGAGGGATCTCTGCAGTACGCTAGAGGAGGTTTCATACATACTGTTTCCTTTAGATGCCCATGTAGAAAGGCATTTTTCACATCCAGTGGAAAGATTGTCCAAGAGTGAGCAGTAGAGAGAGCTAAAAGAACACGGACCGTAGTAATCTTGGCTACTAGAGCAAAAGTTTCTTCATAGTCAATGCCATACTCTTGCTTATATCCTTGTGCCACAAGCCTGGCTTTGTAATGGTCCAGAGACCCATCAGATTTCAGCTTGATAGAATAGACCCATTTGCTCCCAATAATAGAGCCATCTGAAGGTGTTGGGACAAGGTCCCAAGTGTCATTCTCATGCAAAGTTTGAATCTCTACATCCATGGCTTCTTGCCACTGAGGGCTGCTACTAGCCTGCTGGTAAGAGCGGGGAATATTTGTAGAGGTCAAAATAGTAGAGAAGGATCTATGGTTTGAAGGAAACCCATAGCGGTCAGGTGGTTTGGAGATATGAGTAGAACGGCGTAAAGGAATGGGAGGAATTATTGAGGAATCTAAAGTTGGAGCATCACTTACAGGGTTGTTTGTGATGGGCGAGGGATCTAGACCAGGAGGAAGAGGGGTCGTAGGCGTAGGATGCTGGACCACAAACCTGCTTGCGAGAGGACGAGAAGTTCCTTCTCAGTAGTGGATGATGGAGAATCCTGTTGTTCAAAATCATGCAAAACTGAAATAGAGGGTGCAAATAACTTGGCAATTCCTGAAAAAAAGGAGATATGCTTAAGAAAAATCACATTTCGAGAGATACGAATTCGACGTGCTGAGGGATCGTAACAAATGAATCCCTTGTGGTTCGGGCTATACCCTACAAAAGCACACATGACAAACTGAGCTAAAAGCTTTGAACGTTCATGAGGAGGAAGATGAAGAAAGCATAGACACCCAAAGACATTAAGACAAGAAAGATACGGGGGGGGGGGGGATCCAAACATCTTTTGATGAGGAGAAATGTTAGCAAGCGCAGATGATGGGATACAATTGATCAGATATACTGTAGTGCTAGCAGCCTCAACCTAGAATGTGGGAGGCGCATGTGGTTCTTGTAGGAGAGCCCTTAAAACACTGAGAATGTGACCATTCTTTCTCACCGCCACACCATTTTGCTGAGTGTTTGGGCAGCATCGTTGGACTTGTATGCTATGATGTTTCAGGTAAGCCAAAAAATCTCCGTCACTGTATTCTCCCCTTGAGTCTGAGTGTAAGATTTGCACATTCACTTGAAAACGAACTTGAACCATGTTATGAAACAACCTAAAGGTTGGAAACACTTATGGTTTGTGTTTGAGAAAGTAGATCCAAGTGTACCTGGTACAATCATCAATAAATAGCACAAAATACTTGTATCCCATCCCAGAGACAACAAAAGAAGTCCAAACATCACTTTGAATAATTTCAAAAGGTGAAGTAGCATGTTCAGTTCGGTGAGTGAACGGTAAAATATACCTCTTACTCAAACAACAAGAAACACAAGATGTATCAAAGGATTTCATAGAAGGAATTTTAGTTTTAATAAAACCAGACTCAAACAAGTATTTAAGTTTATCAGAATTTGAGTGGCCTAAGCGTTTATGCCTTAGCTACTTGGGGTTTTGGGGTGTGAGATTAAAAGTTGGCCAATTAGCTACTTGGGGTTACCATTAGGTGGGAACCCTTGGTCAGAAGGTTTTTGGAAGCCAGTCATTGAAAGATTTGCTAGGAAGCTAGCTCTATGGAGGAGGAATTACATCTCTCTTGGTCGAAGGATAACATTGATTAGAGCCACATTGGCAAGCCTCCCTATTTACTTCCTCTCAACCTTTAGATACTCTGTAGAGTAGCAAGGGGGTTAGAAAACTACATGAGAGATTTCCTTTGGGACCCAGGTGAGGAGAGGAAGGATCACCTGATTAATTGGGATCAAGTTAGAAAGCCCAAGGATAAAGGGGGTTTGGGAATAGGAAACATCTCAATTAGGAACTCAGCTCTGTTAAGAAAATGGTTGTGGAGATACCCATTTGAAAGAGATAGGCTGTGGCACAAAGCCATTGTGAGTATTCATGGTTTGGATGGCAATGGTTGGGATGCAAAAGTTGCCCCTCATGTTTCCTCATCTTCTCTTTGGAAAGCAATTTATGAAATTTACCCAACATTCCTTAATTCCATTCGGTTTGATGTGGGCTAGGGTAATAAAGTTCGTTTTTTGGAAGACCTTTGGGTGGGAGATAGTCCACTCAAAGACCTCTTCCCTGACCTATACGCTTTGTAAAATTTCAAAGGGGAAACAGTAAGCATTTTGGGTAATCCTGGCCTAAGTGGGGTCAATTGGAATCTGGGTTTCAGAGGGGCCTTAGGGAAAATGAATGTGCCTCTTTAATTCAACTACTGGATCTAATAGGACAAGTTCATTTGGACCCATCCTTGGAAGATTCTAGAATTTGGAAAGGGTCCTCAGTTGGCCTCTTCTCTTGTTCCTCTTTCTTTAATGTTCTTGCCACACCTAGCAACCCGGTTGGGGAATTCCCTGTAAAAGAAATTTGGAGTAAGCCTATCCCCCCAAAAATTCAAGCCTTCTGTTTGGAAATTTTCCTAGGCAAGGTTAACGCGTGTGATATGCTGCAGAAAAGAAGGCCTTTTGCTTGCCTTTCTCCTCACATGTGCTCCCTTTGTAAGGAAAGTGGCGAGACCTAGACACATCTATTATTATCTTGTTCCTTTGTGCATCATATTTGGGAATCTTTTTGTCTTCTCTTTGGTTGCAGGTGGGTTTCCCCTCAAGATGTGGCAGGACTTTTCAATCGAGACTTTTTGTGGCAATCAAAGAAAAGAGGGAAGGTTATGTGGAAAGCTACAAAGGCAGCTATTTGTTGGGTGATATGGGAAGAAAGTAATAACAGAATATTCTTGGATAAGAGTAGAACAATGGAGGAGGTAATTGACACAATCAAAGGTAAAGTAGCTCATTGGGTAAGATCTTTGCATATTTTCCAAGATTTCTCAGTCACAGAAATTATAAGATCCTGGACAGAAGTTGCACAATCTTCAAGAGTGAAAGAGAGAGTAAGGATGGAATGGAAACCTCCAGATGGTAACAGAATTAAACTGAATTTTGATGGAAGCTCATTTGGAAATCTGGGATTGTCAGGCATCGGGGGAGTAATCAGAAATTCTGAAAGGAGAATATTAGCATTATTCTCTAGACCTATCAGCATGGGCAACTCTCTAAAAGCTGAGGTAATGGCATTGCTACGAGGATTGAAGATAGTCAAGCAACTAGGAATGAGGCATATTGAGGTTGAAGGGGATTCCAAGGTGATCATCTCTTGGGCTAAAAACAATAGAACTACTCCGTGGACTTTCAAACAAGTGATAAGGGAAGTGGAAAAGGTTGCAAGGGAGGTAGAGGCAGAATTCAAATGGGTTAGGAGTGCAAATGGGCTAGCTGATTATCTTGCTAAACAAGGGGCTTTGAGGCAACATTTGTTTTGGGCTGCAATGTAAAAATGGACAGAAATATGTAGTAGTGTGGGACTTCTAGCCCCATACACAAAGTTGTAAAACTTTTTAACTTTAATTTCAAATAAAATTTTCCTTCAGTGATAAAAAAAAAGGTGTAAAAATGCCTGTTCAGGTTGGACTTAGTTGTTTTGTTGTTAGCTTATTTCTATATTTGGTTTTCTATATTGGAAGCTCACAGATCAAATTCAGGTTTTCTAATCATTTTTTTTAATTTTTAATATATAGGTCTACTCTCCATTTTGTGCACCAGTGTAAACTTTAGGATATGCTTTATTCTTCTTTGTTACTGAGAATCATTCTTACATACTGATTCATTATACTCTATTTATGTAAAGTAGCTGTTTTTTCTTATGTGCAGATGGTGGTATTTCTCATTCCTCTTTTGGATGATAAATTTCCTCTCATACGTAGCATCACATGTTGGACACTCTCTCGATATAGTAAATTTGTTGTTCAGGTATGGATGAAACTATTTTTTGATGATCTACCTGTTCTAATGTTTATTTCTTCATTGGTGAAGTATGGCAGTATATATTAATATATCAAAACATATGAAAGGGCAAAGGCCCTTTAGAGCTGAACCCCCTACCCCCCTGCCTGGAAAAGAGGGAAAGAAAATATTAAAATATTTTACAGAAATGCAAAAAATTTGAAATTTCAAGATCCACTGAGATTGATGCACAGAAATAGTCTGTTTTCTCTACTTTCCTGAAGATGCGCCACTCAATTCACATAATCTGTGTTCAATCTTATGTTTCTCTCCTTCTAGAGGCTCTAACTGATGGCAACTGGAATCATATTCCAGATAACATTACCCTGAATCCCTGATGTAACCTATCACTGGACAAGAGTTTGTCAGAACAGCCATTGAGTCCAGGACAACCTACTGTTTTCTAAAATCTAAAGTCAACAAAATGGCTCCATACTTGTAGTTATAAATGAGCAAGGGTTCAAACAGAAAATGTATCTTATCTATCACAAAATAAAGCAGAAAAAATATCTCTTGATAGATCATAATGGTGGGATAGGATTTTTGGGATAGGATTTTTATGATGAACTCAAATAGTTGTTAACTTGTGATTAAAGAATCCCTCTGGAAATCTCTTTTTGCAATTTGCAAGTAATGACTTAAGGGTTCAAAGAAGGAGGTGGTGGAGAAGAAATGTACCGAGTTCCAAGTTACAGTAGGGGCAGTGACTCAATTGATGGAGGTATCCGAGGAAAATCTAAAGCCAATTGCTGGGTTTGAGGAGAAGGAAAAGGAGGGTGGAGTTGCTAAAGAAAAAGAAGTCCAAGGAGGTTTTATCTCACAGCAAGGAACTAAAGGGAGGAATGCTGGAGATTGAGAACCTGGCTGATAGAGTTGTTAGAACTGGAAAGAGTTTAGGTTTGTTTTTGGGGGTGAAGAGGAGTTTGCCAGGAAAGCTTTCAAGGCTTTTGAGAAAAGCAAGAGGGAAGAGAGTCTGAAGAAGATCACAATAGGGGAAGGAGGAGAGATGCGGAATGAGGATGGAGATGGGAAGTTTTTTGGAGCAGCTACAGTAGTCCGAACCAGTGAAGAAGGAAGAAGAAGATGAGGAAGAAGACAAGAGAAAAGTGAGAACAGAAGGGTTTAGTCGAAACTGATTAGTCTCACATTCAGTCGACCCCCAAATGTTTATTAGGTTCTAATTACACTAACAAAGACTAAACTGCCCTCACTTAAGTGTGGGGCAGAGTACTCTAATAAAACAGCCACAAAAGCAAAGTACTTAACTAACATGAGATTACTAAACTACCCCTATTCGGCTCACTCTAACACTCCCCCTCAAGCTGGAGAATATATGTCATATAATCCCAGCTTGTTACATAGATAGTTCACTTTCCCTGAGTTTAGAGCTTTTGTAAACAAATCTGCTCATTGATCATTCGAGCCCACATGTTCTGTGTTTATCTC